ACGTAAGCTCGCCGGCAACGACGCGCTGTCCTCCCCCCTCGCCAGGCAATATCGATCGCCGGGCGGTCACATCTCGCCACGCGCTCGAATTGGACAGTGGGCAGGGCAAAGACGACGATTTTCGATAATTTATTACTCGTTAACTATTGCGAAAATTGCAAATGGTTCAGGACTTTTCTGTTCATCTCGATCCGTTCTACCTTCTCATGAGCTCTGGGACAAATGTTATAACTCACCCTGTATAACATTACAATAATATTGTTTTCATACATACTTCGAGAAGCGACGGCTCTGTAGAGGGACCCTGCAATTCGTAATCCTGTTGCTTGCCTTCTTGAAGCGGGACGAAAATCGATGACGCGTTTGGATCAGTCTCTATCGCGGTACTCTCGATCTTGCCGTCATCAGCATTGCGAAACGAATTGTGTCCACCGACGTTATAATCCGGCTGAGTTTGCGCGACGTTGACCTCGTAAATCGGGGAATACCGATGCTCCTCGCCGGGTGTCACTCGCGGATCCACCGTCGTGGCCAGATTATAGTTTGCGTCTTCTTGATAACGCGGATATTCCTTGGATCTCTGAGGAATCGTTTGGTCTGGTAAATTCTCGTTTGCAACTTGATAATTGAATCCGTTCACTGGAGCCTTCTCGAGTCCCGTATGCTGGAAGTCGCTGTTCTGATCGTACGTCGCGTCTTGGTGCTGGTAGCGCGCTTCTTGAGGCCGGTTTTGCTGATAGTTGTGACTCCTCGAGTAGTCGTCGGACATTGCCGGTGTGCTGGGCTGAACCGCGGCCTCGCGTAACGATGATGGGTAATTCTCGGTCTGTACGGCAGTGGTCGGATAATGCTCCGGGTAACTGCTCACCCCGGACAAGGGAGTTTCCTTCTGGTGGACGCCAGAAGCGGGTCCGCTCGGCGGCGAGTACGCGTCGGGAGATGCATTACTCTGCGCATCGTTCTGCGGATAATTTTCGTAGTTAGCTGCTTGAACGCTGTGGCTGTGAACCTGAATAAGTTTAGAAAGCGATATTTATGCGAACGAACACTTTGCGTTTTCTTTCTTTCCTGATATTGAGTGCGTTCCGACACTGCTACTTTAGCGCTACAGTTTTGTACCGGCGCCACACTTACATTTGTAAGGCATAAGAGTTCCCTCCCGCCCTGATAACACTAAATACGGCCCTGTGACATACACAGAGAACAAAGAACGAAACGGTCTAGAAACTAATACACGAGAGGTGACCGTCACTAACAATGTAATAAACAAATGTAACAAATTAGGGAAAGGCGAGCAGTTGCTCGAGCCGAAAACAGGCCCATACAGCACAGATGTATTATTAATTTATCATTACTGCTGGCGACTTTAAGAATATTCTTAATTTGTGAAATTAAAATAATGAGATTTGTAGTGCAATTGTATAACGATCATGTTCTTGGGACAAAGTGGAGAGTTTGAATGGCGTGAGGAGACAGAGAAAAAGCAGTGGTTATTACGAATAAAAAACTATTTTAAATATCGACTGATCTCTTTCGCAAAGTCGTATCTTAATTTTATGCAATTTCGGGTTTTTGTGCTTAAACGCTCTTTCTGGGCCTGAATGGCTGCGGACAAGTTGTTGCTTCAAGTGTTACGAAGTATTCTTCTGCTCTTCACTTTCAGTAAAGAGAAGAGAAACGGTTTCAAACTTCGAAGCGTTTGCAGCAGTAGCTTGACCGCAGCCTAAGTACAAAAACCAGAAATTGCGTGATATCTAGATACGACCTTGCGAAAGAGATCAGTCGATATGCTTATAATACATGTCGTGAGGACGTCTTTTAGATTTGTTTTCAAGACGTCTTAAGGGGATGCTGGAGTGGTTTGATTTACCGACAGAGTCGGATACCGTTTTTGCGTTTGTAAATCTTATTATTTGCATTTATGTACAAACTAATACCAGACCCAAGTGTAGAATACATAGTTGAACATTTTCATATAAAAAACATTGAGATTTGAAGTCTAATTCGTATCGCATTATGTATTACAAATATTGCAATACATAATGCGATACGAATTAGACTTCAAACCTCAATGTTTTTTATATGAAAATGTTCTACTATGCATTCTACACTCGGGTCTGGTATTAGTTTGTACATAAATGCTACATAATTATTTTCGTTTGTATCTATAATATGACATATTGAGGTTACGTTTCTTTACAAACCTCCAAAAACTGTATGCGACTCTGTCGGTAAATCAAACCACTCCAGCATCCCCTTAAAGTTGTCTTTAAGACAAGTCTAAAAAGACATCGAAAATCGGGACATAAGACGTCCCCAGTGAGAAATGATTCGTCTATTGACGTCGAAATGATGTCGAATCGACGTCAATTCGCCGGTGTCGATGTCGATTCGACGTCGCTTCGACGTCGATCGACGAATCATTTCTCACTGGGTCTTAAAGATGTCAAAAAGACGTCTTTTTGACAACTTTATAAGACATCTTAGAACTGTTCAAAACATCTTTAAGACGACGCAATGTTCCCCGGGTAGTAGTACTATAGTAGCAGTGTCTTGCCGGAACGCACTTATTATAACGGTACGAAGAATAAGCGGGCTTAAAAGTTAATCATACCGCGGACTGGGCACTCGCTCTATCTCGACCTCTGTACTTCTGCGCCCGGGATGCCGGCGATGCTCTTCTGTGTTCCAACGCGTTATATTTCTGCGTGGTCTCCGGCGTCTTCGCCTTTGTTGGGTCGTAGGAGGACTCGCGATAATCCTCCGTTGTGGTCGTAAATCTAGACTTGGATCGATTGTACGTTGGTCTTCGGGTTCTCTCCGTTCTATTGCTAGGTGCCTGGGTCGTCGTTTTGGATCTCGTAGGTACGATTCTGCCTCTGTGCGCGATCAGACATAATTCCAATGTATTAACGTTTTACCGACATTTACGATTGAAACATTTTTACGCTCTACTTGGTCTTGAACCATCAATTTAGATCAAACGGAATAAGAACTTTTTAAGGTCGACAAATTGTATGTTTTCCATATAAATTATGTTACGACGCGTACCACCTTGACTAAGGAAATCTCGAAAAATAATACATTGAAATATTTAATTGACGCGAATAATCGTGAATATCCACTTGAAAATTTTTAATAACGAAAGATATTTTGTACAAAAGAATTACATCAAAAAGTGCTACACATCAAGTATTAAAAATAAAGACTTATTGCCGCCAGTAAATAATTAACCAATATAGGAAATTAATGATTGACACAAAACTGGCAAATTATAATTAATGAAATTTATTGCGAAAACTATATTACCTCAGCCAGGGTTTGAACCCTGGACCTCTGCATCTCTGTCGAATTGGTGAGACGCCCGTCTAGAGTGTAGGTCCAGGTTCAAACCCTGGCTGAGGTAATATTTATCGCAATAAATTTCTCTAATTAGAATTTGCCAGTTGTGTCGATTATTAATTTCTTACATAGAGTATTAAAGTATTAAATTATACTAAAATTATACACACCTTCCTCGCGGCCTGTAAGTCGTGGAGCTTACACGAGTAGTCGTTGTCGCTGGCGTCGTGGTCGTCGTCGTCGTCGTCGGCGGTGGCGTCGGAGCGACCGAAAGATTCTCTTGCTTGTCCAACAAGGAATTTACCAAGCCCGGCAAGTGCGGGGAGATCGGCGGTAATTCCGCTGGTAAATTGTACTGGGCTGGACCAACTGGCGCCCTCACGTCATTCACGTCGTACGATTCACCCAGATTGGACTGGGAATGATACTGTTCGGCGGTATTGTACTTCTGGGGCTCTCTTTGCTGAACAAGCTCGTGGTTGATGAGCGCCAATTGGGCCGCCAACTCCTGCTCCTTCACGGAGGAATCTTGCGGACTCACTGATACTCTATCCTGATAACTCGGTGTGCTAGGATAAGTCACTTCCTGTCTATAGCTGACTGTCGTGTCGACTTTTGGTGACTGAGTGGTAAGTTTCGTCTCCTGCTCGTAGTAGTGCTTCGGCTTATTGTCGTAATATTGCCTGAGTCTGAACTTTGAACTAGAGGACGGCGTTGAGTAAACGGGCTCGTACTTAGGGCTGCTGGGTTCCGGGGGGAAGCTTTGGGTGTTCGAGGAGTCGTAGGATGCGGTGGTGGCGATGGATCCACTTTGATGAGCGTCGCTGTAAGAGTTCGGCTCGATCAACGGCGTGGGATTGAGATTCTGTTCGTCCGTCGAAGACGTGTGCGGCTCCGAGGACGCTTCCGACAGGTTGTTGACCACGACGGAACCGATGTGCGGCGCCGGGAAGGGGATCTTAGAGTAACCCGGGGGCGGGTCGAAGCTCAGCGGAGCGACGAAGAAAGGCAGCTTGTCCACTTTGCGTTCCACCCTGTTGTGATCGATCGACGACAGGTAGGGAAGATCGAACTTTGCGTAACCGTAGGGGGGATCCAGGTTGGACGGGCCTACGAATACCTGTGGACTGTTGGGCCCGACGTTATCCAGAACGGCGATGGTTTTCGCGTTTCTCAGAATCTTCAGGACATCGGTGACCTTGACGGTGTCCAATGTCTTGGACGTGGAACTGCCCATGTAAACGGAGAGGGGCGGCTGATTGGGCGACGGCGTGGTGGTGACCTCGCGGTAATTGGACTGCTCCTGGTACTGATTGACCCGTGGGCGTGGCCTGTTGCGAATCTTCTTGATTCTGCTGGCGTTATCCGTGAGCTGCTGGCGACGCGCCTGTTCGCGGATCAGAGCTTGGGACTGGGCGTTTTGGAAACTCGGACTAGTAACTCGTAATTGATCCTCCTGTTGACCCTCCAGAATCCTCTGCTGCTCCAGCTCCAACTTCTGCCTCTCTTCGCGCTGCCTGGCTTCCTCCTCGCGGCGTCTCTCTTCCTTGACGCGAAGCTCGGAAAGCCGTCGTCGTTCGAGCTCCTCCTGCCGTTGCTTTTCTCGAGCCTCGCGAATTCGATCCAGTTCTCGTTGCCTCGCCATTTCCTCCAGCCTTTCCAATTCCTTTCTCTTCTTATCGGCCTCCTTTTGCCGCAACAACTCCTGCTCTCTCTGAAGGGCCTCTTGCTGCAATCGCGTCTTCCGCTCAAGCGCCTTCTGCTCCTCATTTAACCTGGTAATTTCTTTCACGCGTTCTTCCTTCAGGAACTGCGCCTTCTCTTCGTGTTCCTTCTGGATTTGGTGCAACACCTGCCGCGCGAAGGCTTCTTGGTCGGGCGAAAGAGAGGCTGGATCGATATTTCCTTGGTTCTCTCGCTGCTGATGTTGTTGGCGAACGGGATATTGCTTCCTTCCACGGCCCCTTTTCGGCTGACCCCTTTGCGCCAGCGTTTCCGCTGGGACATAAACCAGTTGAACCTAAAAGATGTCACATTTGCCGCTGTTAAAAAATTGCTAATCTTGTCTAATTGCGATTTATAGAATTTTCAATGGAATTAAGTGCTATTTCTAACATAACTATTTCTAACAAAACTATTGGATTAATGAATTTATTTAATGAATTCCACGATATATCGTAGAATACTTATAAATATTCATTTATTATCTCACACAGCGTAACAACATTGTATGTACGTATTAATAATTTTTCAACATGGTAAACACATTGGCGTAATTAAATTTTGTTTTTGTTGCATCATTATGTATTAATTACATAAAACAATTATATTAAAATTATCTGTGCCACACATGGATTATTGTAAGTAATAGGATTTAAGATAAGAATTGAAATTTGTTTACTTGTATTCCAGCATTTGTTGAAATCTATTATACAATAGCATTTGCTGAAACTAGTCGTTATCGTAGGTTCTACTTTTGTGTTTAAGAAACCAAATCAATTTGTAATCTTGCTACACTTAGTTCCGGTTTCGCTCGGTTGATATATGAATTTTGCGTATTCCGTGCACGCTCTGATTCTGTTTAATCTAACGATACCATCGCAGAAATGTACATGTAAGAATTGGTCAATAGAATTTGATGAATCGCATGTTGGAAAGAAAGCAAGCCACAGGTTTCATTGTACGCACCTCCTCCTCTTCATCGCCCACGCTACCAACCAGAGAGGACTGCGATAATCCTGGACTCGAATGTCCTTTCAAACGTTTCCCGTCGGGTCTCTGGCCTCCTTGTTTCGTTACGTAAGCGTGTCCTTCTTGCGTGTCCTCCACGTTTTGTTGCAGTACAACTTGACCCTGAATAGGCAAGTTTGGTAGCTCCTGGTTCTGATAGATCTGACCCGGTCTTTGGAAGTTCTGAGCAGGATGCACCGGCGGTAGTGCTCCCGAGGACGGCTGCGGAGGTATCAAGACTTCCGACGCTAATTCAGGCGCTGTTTGAAAATTGCCTAAGGAACTCTGCGGTAACACTTGTTTCTCATCTTCGGCGCTACTGTAATCGCCGGGCACAAATGTCTGAGTCTGTAAATGGAGGCAAGATCCATTTAGAAAAGTAAAGAAGAGGAAACTTATTACATTATATACAATTTCCAATTCTCATTAAATGTAACGGAACAGTTAATTACGATTTTAATATGAAAATTTTTTATTAAACTAATTTTCTCCTTTAATCTAAACGCAACCTCAGCTTTCGAAAGCATATATTATTTGATGAAGTAAGTTGTAAAGGACATAAATTCCTCACATTATTAGAGGAGAGTCCTCTATTATAAGGTAGGATTCTAATGTGAGATAGTAGGTTTTCAACGTCCAAATTCAATCGCAAATCATTTTTTCGCAACGATTACACGATCTAACGATCAATTTTCCACTAAACAGATTTCACTCCAAGGGTAATTTAAGGGGACCCTAAAGCTGCTGGCAAAGTCGATCAGTGTCGATAAGATATGAGGCGGAATTAAAAACGTCAATTATCGACATTTTTAATTCCAAGTTCTACTCGGTCCGAGAAATTTCTAGCTAATCAATTTGCAACTTTTACGAAAAAGCAGCAATTTTAATAGCTACACATTGCTCAGACCGAGATTTTGGATCGAATTCTAGCATTGTCAACAGGCTTTACTGACTATCTGACAGACGTTTGGCAGCGACCTTTCTCGAAAAAGCCTGCAACTATTTCCACGCGCCTCATTGCTCTTTTTCTCTTTTCCTAGACTAGTGTTTATTAGAAGTAATCTTTTTTTCTAGGCTATTAATCTTAGTTCTAATTGCACGATATTGTTCCTATATGTTGTCCCTAACGTATGCTGGTCTTATTTTGTATATATTTATTGTAGAATTCTTGCATCGCAAGCAAATATTGTCTCGTCAAGTGTACAAAAATTTAGTAAACTTTTTTCGTTTTTGACATAAAGTCGACCGACATAGTCTAGATTTTGCTGCGTACTTTAATTCCGTAAAAGAGTTTTGCATTTCTAGAAAGCCAATTAAAAGATTACTTGTAACAAAGAATGTCGATAAAACAGACGGCTTTAGGAAACCCTTAATTTAACGGAAACCCTGCTGTCTCATATTAGGAACCTGTCTCCTAATAGGGGACTTTCCTCTGAATTATATTCAATAGTATATAGCAATTCACTATCTATTTATTAGTAAATATCTTTTGTAAAAATAACATATTATTAAACATCTTGCATTCTCCGCGTTGATGCAACGGAAACTGTTTTACCTGAAGAAGCTGCTGCTGAGCCTTGAGCTGCTGCTGCAGCAGGAGGAGCTTTTGAATACTCTCCTGCGTCTTCTGCAGCTGGATCAATTGGTCCTGGTACTGCTGCTGCAGGGCGGGCGGTAACGCGAGCGTTTGCAATGGATTCGGTAAATGCGTGCTGCTAGTTAGGAGCCCGCTTTCCGCGTTATTTCGAGTGAGTTGAGCGGGCGCGGTCCCCGGATTAGCCAGGGGGATCCACTCGCTGTTAGAGATTTGCCGTGACCATCGCTCAGCCGTGCACCCGCCGAATCCGCCTAACAACGTTAGGATGATGAATGCCGCGGTCGATGTGAAGCACCTCCGCACAATCTAAAACCGACGATATCGATTAATTGATCGCACGGAACGTTAAGTAATTAACTTCGGCGACGGCTCCGTACGCTACGTGACAGCGTAAAATTGGTTCGATTGACTTTGCACGATGGATCTGGGTCAACGTCGGTTTGTTTTGACGTAATTTATATTTATATTTTTTCAATAAAGCACTCCCTTGCGCGTTGCGTGTTGTAAATGACGTGACCTTCAGTTTCGTAACACGGACTGAATCGTGTACTACGCACGACGCGTACAATTAGCGCTTAAAACCGAGTGTAATAGGCAAAAGGATGGAATTCATGAAATGAATGAATAACAAAATAGTTTTCCACGGAATAATAAATAAAATTAATATGAATAAGAGCTGCATTCTATTATAATACGGGGATAGAATTGTTTTATTTCATATATTGAGGAACAGGATGTGAGGTGCATTAGAGGGTAACAGACAAAACGTGGCAACGCTTCGTGCGGAAGATAACAAGAAACCAACCGCAATTTCACCGCAACTATCCTCCGATGCGAATAAGTAATCGAGATCATGGACCAATGAATTGGCCGCAACTTTATGTTTTAATGGAATCTGCGGTTTCATAATGCGACAAAGCTGCGACGAACATGCGCATGCACGTACACAATGCTATTAATTACTTCCGATATTAATGTCGATGTTATTTCTCGCCGAACGTTTCGTAAATCGTTTTCCACGGCGAGTAAAATTTTCGAATGAATTATTTCCTCGTTGAGAGAAAGTTATTACTCTACAGGCAAAGAAGAGGCAGGTAAACTGTGAGAGGAATCTATATGGAAAGTCCCCTATTATGAGATGAGCTCCTAATATGAGACAGTAGGGTTTCCGTTAAACCAATGGGCATCATCTGTTGATTCCACCGCGAATTTATTGCTCTTGGAGCGAAGTCTGTTTAGTGGAAAATTCGTTGTTAGATCAGCGTTTAGTGGAAGATTTGCGATTGAATTTGGGTGTTGAAAACCTGCTATTTTATATTAGAAACCTATCTCATAATAGGGGACTTTCCTCTAGTAATATTTTTTTTATTTGGTCATTATTGCGAAATTTAATAATAATAGCAAAACGTTTGGTAATAATTATAAACTTTTGAGAGAGTAAATTTTGCATTTAGGTAATTGAGCCAACTCAATTCCGCAATGTTTTAACAATGTTTTAACCAATTTCTAGCGCCATAATAACCTGTGCGTTTAGTTGAAACTATTTCACCATAGATCTAGATAACATTAACCAGGCTTGGATTATTATTATATAACCAAGCCTTTTTCGTATAATTTTGGTTTGAATTTCTACTCTTATCTTTAATCTCGTGATTAATTAAAGGGAATTGCTTCTCGTTTAATTAGTTGTACAAATTTTGATTAATAAGAACAGATTGCCACTAGAGTTGTACACATTTCCTATTAAATATGAATGGAATAAAACATCGCATAAATGTTTTCCCGCATTGTACGCAATCAATATGTAATCATGCGATAAAAGATACTAGTCCTTTTAAAGAATGTGGAATTAAATTTTATACATTTGCACGTAACCAAATTAAAATTTTACTCTTCCAAAATGGGAAAAGGTTTTCGCGACATTTCTATTTGTTGACGTTTGCGATTGGCTCGTTTCGCACACATCGCGAGCGGCCGATCGTTTATCTCGAACAGAGACGCGAGTGACGTGTATTATTGCATCGAAATAACGCAACGGCTATTGTTCCAATATCTGCTCTCGATACAGTTTCCCGTTTCGCTTCCACTTCATTTATCGTACGTTGATATTAATACTCTATTTTGATATTTCTATCAAATGAATGGATGTAGATGAAGAAATCGTCAGCGATCGCGTCACGTAATATCCGATAATCGCGATATTCGGTCTTTACTTGATTTTTAATACGTAATATCAGGCTTAAGTACGGCTCTAATAATAACGCACCGAGCATGAATCATTAGGCATAATTACGCGTGCAAAGACAACTTTCACCGAGGCTGTTGCTTTTGTCTATTTATGCATCCGCGCAATCCGACACACCGAGAAAAGTTGCCAATGATTTTCAACAACTGGATAGTGGATAATTTAAATTTTATTAACAACTATAGCCACTTAAAATGAAAGAATTTAATTTTCTCCAATCACGCATACGGCGTTAAGAACCTTAGAAGTCTTACGATCGTAGTTTTACATTGCTAATAACGCGGTGTATTTCGCAGGAAATGTTTCAAGTGTCGGGTGACATGGTGCTCCAAGTGAATGTAGTCGACCTTCTAGTTGCGGACACGGGAAATGTAGACACGCAACGTACTGTCTTTCGTCTATTTTACATCCGCGAGCAAATCGACGAGAACATAATCGTTCACACACGTCAGCTTAAAAAAAGGATATAAAAAATTGAAAAAGGTGAGCTTGTTGTCAACCCAACTGGCAAATTTTATTAAATTAGTTACTATAATTGTAACTTAATTAAATTTGACAATAAGCTCATCCCTTTTTTCATTTCTCATCATCACTGGCGACTATATGTGACATTTTTCTTTCGTCGTTTAAACAGGATGTAGTTGCTTTTTTTATTATTTAGTTTCCTACGATGTCATGGGCAAATTTTTGGTTCTGGTATTTATAAGTTAAGCATTAAACAATTAATAAGTAATACATTTTTAATTATTTGGAAATTATTTTAACAAACCATAAATAGGAAAATTTTATTGTTTACTTAAAATCGTATTTACATCTGAATCTGGCGTTCATTCATCTATTTAATATACGCATAGAGCGATCAATGCTAGATTATATCATTAATATCTTATATACATACGCTAATAAATCAAACATCTTAATCCTTATATCTTAAAAAAATCACTTTACTCAAGAAAATGATTCATCAGGTGGCTTCTAATAGCTTATTAACTTAAATTCAAAGCACACGTTTCTTTAAGTATCTATTAAATATCAAAGACTAGATAATTTTGAACTGAAAGAAATGTTTACTAAGACGTAATTTTTAAAGCGAAGAAAATTGAACAAAAACAATTCACTTCATTTAATAAAAGTATTCTACATCTCATGAAATCTTTATTTAAATGTAAAAAATGTAACGATTTAAATTAATTAACTTAATAAATCCGACTAATTTCACGTTGTAATCGATACAATTTAAGCTGCAAATGTCCTAAAAGTAAAACTTGTAACCGAGAAAATTTTAATGGCAATTGTCCTCTGAAACTTGTAGCTTATCTAATTCCCTGAAAAGGACCACAACCCGTATGGGCGAAACGTCGGAACCAAACAAATAAACCAGCTGCCAGCCTAAAGTCGTGTAACAATTCTTTTTACTGAGAATAATTATTAAGTTACGTTATTAATCTCATTACGATACATTATTATTATTATACGACGGATATTATCGATGCCAATTGTTAAGAAGCCATGGTTGATATCGTCATCGCATGTCACCTGCGGACCGGGAGAGCTTCTGGAGTGCAACCAGAGCTAACGAACTGTGAATCGCATCAAATCGCGTACGGCGATTTCTAATACATGACTCGGTTGCGACTACCTAATCTTACGAGTTCGTAAGTTGCCGGGCAAAGTTTTTACGAAAATGATGATTGATGGATTACGCAAGTAACTATGCGGCAAATAAGAGAGTGTGGTAATAAAAACTGAGTAAAATCTACGTCGATGATTGTGTGGATTGTGCCTCAACGTGTTGAATTTTCTTTTAATATGCAGTCGTTGATAATCTCGAAAAAATGTCTCGAGCAGCTGCAACGTGTTAAAGATCGCTATCGTCCCGGTATTATCGATGCATTGTTAACGCTTGTATAATGAATCACCAGTACGATGATATCATCGACGAGGCGAATGTAAGGATTTGCCGGTTCCTGAACTTATACAATAATTTTCGAATCGGTCAGGTCTTTGTGCCACTGACATGATTTTGATTACGTGCCGCGAGCGTGTCTATGTAATTTTCATTACGGAATATCGCGTGTCGGACACGCCGCGCGATTTTTCTGCTTTCTTCGCGATTTTTTCCGAGCGCATTCCGGCCGTTCGTTTTAGAAACGAATCCATCGAGTGTAAAATAATGGCGCGATCCGCCGGAAGGGCTTCTCGTCGGAGAGAAAAGAAATCGATCCCGAACGTACGAGCCCGTTCGCTCGCGCATGTAGTACACAGCAATGAAATTCCTACGATGAATTATCGGTTCGTCGTCTGGCGAAAACAGAGGTAATGAAAAATTCACCAACAAGAAGCACACCGTTCAATCTATGCGAGCAATGTGTATACATATATGGCTATTATCAATTTTAATGATCTGACAGTAATTTTCTTTTCCGTGTATTATAGTTCATCTAACTCTTACATACTCGAATGTATCGCGTAAGTTTTGTATATGCGCAACAATCTATAATCTTTCCTTAAAGGCACTTAATAATCTTACATTCCAACAATATTACAGTCTTAATACTTAAATACCATAATTGTCACTTCAAGAATACATATAATTATTTTGACAACAAAGTCATTTTAATCATTATAATTTTCCATTTGAAAATGTTAATTTCTATTCAATGTTGTTTTCTTTCCATTCAACAAAGTTATTCTTAAATAGTGAGTATACATTTTTCTCAATTAAATTATATAAAAGTGCTTCATTCAAAGAAGTTTCTCTTCTTTTAACGCAATATAATCTCAGAAAATTTATGTCAGATGAACTCTTGTATACTCAAATTAACGCGTTCATTGTTTTGTACTCGTATATGTATACGCGACAATCTAGAATCTTCTTAGAAACATTTAATAATCTTACATTTCAACAATGTTACAGTCTTACTTAAATACCATAATTATCATTTCAAGAACACATATTATTTTGACAACAAAATCATTTCAATCTTTATAATTTTTGATTTGAAAATATATTATTTTTTATGCAATATTGTTTCCTTTCTATTCAAGAAAATTATTCTTAAATAGCAAGCGCACATATATGGTTCTTGAATTATACAAAATTGCAAGTAAGTTTTTCTTTCTTTAACGCAATATAATCTCATTTCAAGATTTCCATGTCGAGATTAAACATATTTTCAATAGAAGAATATTCTTTTTTCTGTGTACATCAAAAAGATATATTGACGTTAGCCGACCAACGATACAATTTAACCAAGGGAGATTTTAAAAAAATCGACCAGACTGGCAAAAATGACGATCTTTATTTTGTCACGACGTTTTCCACTTCTTTATCGGGTCCTTTTTAAGTACAATCTAAAGTTGACTGAACATTTTAATTTATGCCGAAATAGAATGGGGTCACGAATCTGTACCCACACAGCACAGAAAGATTGCAGGAAGATTGCAAATGTTACATTGCAAAATTGCAATATAACATTCTCAGAGAGATTGCAGTGCAACATTATGGCAATGTTGCAGTGCAATATTTTTGGAATAATTTGTTATTGTTGTACATAAGCCCACACAGCACAGAAAGTTTGTAGGAAGATTGCAGAAATGTTACATTGCAAGATTGCAATATTGCAGCAGCGTTGCGCAACATTGCTGCAACGTTTCTGGAG